AAGAGGCTGTCAGATCCCCTGGAACTGGAGTTACGGACAGTTGTTAGCTGCCATGTGGCTGCTGGGATTTGAACCCAGGTCTTCTGCAAGAACAACCAGTGTTCTTAACCGCCAAGCCATCTCTCCAGCCCTTAAAGTAACATTTTTATCTCTACAATTAGGATCCATATTATATGTAACATTGTATCATAATTTAATTGGCATCATTTTTTTCTTAATTTAAGATATATAAAAGTGATGTACCTGGCTGATTCCTTAGATTTGCTGAGATAGATGAATGTTAATTGCCAGAGCTAATATTTGTTGGGTACCTATCATGTGCAAAGATTTTTTTTTAGATACTTTATGTTGTGCTACCTGATTGATCCTTATACCATAACTAGGGCTTTTTCCCCCTTTAAGGCATCGTTGGCTTCACTGCATGACTGATGACCCTCCGACAACAAAACCACCGACTGCTCGTAAATTCATCTGGGCAAACCATAAATTCAACGTGAGTGGCACTCCGGAACAGTATGTACCTTATTCCACCACTAGAAAGAAGATTCAAGAATGGGTCCCACCTTCAACACCTTATAAATAAAGACAGTGAAAACCAGTTTCAACATATAAAGTCTAGGACTTTGCATGGAACTGCACTTCTATTGCTGACCATGAACTTGATTAAAATTGTTTGACCAAGCAGTGTCTTCTGTGCATTTTTGCCTTTGACTCTGTCATTCATCAGTTGTAAGATAGAAGCTCACACACCTGAGTAATCGAAGCAGGCATCAGTTAGGATGGCTGTCTGGTGTAAAGTTCCCATTTTCTGGAAAGAGCCCCAGTTGTCATGTTTGTGTTTCATGATTTTACCTGAATACCATAATTGATCCATAATTGATTGATAAGAGCAGACCTAATTCTTTGCTCAGCCAATTTCCAGATGGAAATTTGGAAATTGAATGGAGAGACACAAAGGCTAAGTCACATCAGAACTCAGTGCTTTTATTGTGACTCTCTAAAGAGAAGGTCATTCAAGATTTCCTTTTTTCTGGGTTTTGATTTTTTTTTTAAAGATTTATTTCTCTCTCTCTCTCTCTCTCTCTCTCTCTGTTTGCCTATATGCCATTGTGTGTAGGTACCCATGGAAGCTAGAAGAGAGATGCTAAAAACTGAACTTGGGTCTTCTGAAAGAACAGCAAACACCTTTAATCACTAAGTCATCTCTCCAGCCCAGCAGGATCTTGCATTTGTACTAGGAAAGGACGGTGGCGGGGGAGAGAGAGAGAGAGAGAGACAGAGAGAGAGAGAGAGACAGAGACTCATGTAACACTGGCTGGCCTTAAACTGTATCAAAGCTCTGTCACTATGATAGCTAAGGATGACCTTGAACTTCTGATCCTCTTGGAATTACAGGCATTTGCCACCTGGCTTTGTTTGGGGATTTATTTATTTTAATCTTATGTGTTTTGCCTGCATATATGTAAGTTCACTTGTGCATGTGCAATGCCCACAGAGACCAGAAGAGGGAAATGGAATTTCAGATGGTTGTTAGCTACCATGTGGGTGTTGGGAACTGAACCCAGGCCCTCCATAAGAACAGCTAGTGCTCTTAACCACTGAGCCATCTCTCCAGCCCCTTGTTTTTAAATCCAGATATCCAGGCAACCAAACCAGCATCTCTGAAAGGGAACCAAACCACTGATAAATTTTGACTGCCTACCCTATGGTTCATTTGAAACTAAGGTTGTGAGTTTCTGAACTAAAGAGATCAACACACCAAAACCAGTTCTAAATCTTTTCCTCAGTCAATACTCTGAGTGTCCCTGTTTAGCTGGATCAGGCTGAATTTGGAGCCCTCAGGAAATACTGTGCTTAATATGCTCTTTGGGGCAGCTGTCTGCATTTTGCTGATTGGCTGATGGAGCACAGTACCAAAGAATAAAAGCCGGCTTTTGTTGGATCAAAATTTCACTTGCTGTGTTAATCTCCCATTTCACTGATTCTTCTGCTAGGGTCAAAAGCATTGTTTTCCACTGTTCCTAGAAATGGATTGGCAGGAGAATCTTCTGAATAATTACAAGTTCTTAGCCCCTGACTCAACTCAAGGATCCTGCTACAATAATAGAGTCTATCAGCAATTGTTTACTTTTACCTGACAGGGAAAGGAATACCTTTACAGATCTATCCTAAGATTTGTTCCATAAGGGCATTTACTGCCTTCCCAAACCATGAGATGTCACGTTTGTCTACTACTGATGCAAAGCAGGAAATGCCAGGCATCTTAGTTGCCCTGGTAAGACATAAGCATGCCAAAGAGTGGGATCTGAATCTCATAGTAACACGGGGACTGTATTGTTATATACAGATACTCCATGCTAATAAAAATTTAAACAAAAGCAGTTTAAGACTTGGTAAAATTCCCAGAGACACAAGGGTCTAGGTCAAGTTGAGATAGCATTTATAGTGGTAAGGACTAATTGCTATGCCTCACCCCTTCTTTAGCTAAGAAAGGTGCAGTACTGCTGGGTTGTGGCGGGTGAAGGATCCAGGTCACACTGGCTCCATTTTTTTAGCAGCCTCCATCTTGTCAGCCTTAAGTCTCTGTTCCTAGAAATTGTAAGTCTCCCTTGCCCCATACTACGGGGTAAGATTAGGCAAGCCTGGACATGCCTTGCTTATCTGAGTCTAACAGAAACCACTCAAAATTCCTGACCATAAAAGGGCATCCAGAGGCCAAAAGGGGCACCCTACAGTAAAAGGAAAAATTGAGACATTCCAGGCGGCTGACGATGACTATAACCAATGAAATTTCCCCCCCGTACAAGGAATTCAGAGTTATCCAATCAATTCAAAGGTCGCCCAGTTTGCACGGGCTTTTTCAAGAGTACCAAATAAAAGCCCCTCACTCATTGTTGGTCGGGGCCGGACTCCATTCTTTGGCTCCTGGAGTCTGTGCCTGACTGGTCGTTCAAGAATTGGAATGCTTTTCAATAAAATTTTCTAAATTTCGAATTTTACTGGGTGGTCTCTAATCATTCCCGAACCTCGGACCCAACAGTGGGGCCTGTTTAATCCTAGTATCTGGGAGCCTGAGACAGAGGAATCAATTTCCAAAAAGAAAGAAAAAAAAAAGGAGAGAGAAAGGAGACTAGGGGAGGAGAGGGAAAGGAAAAGAAAGGGAAGAGAAGGACAGAAAATAAAGGGGAAGGGAAAGAAGAGGAAAGGGAGGAAGGAAGAGAACTTTGTGCTGCTTGGATTTCTGAGACAGCATAAAACACATAGGTATTTTTATTTATCAGTTGACTGAAAAGCTGACAAGCCAAAATCAGCCCCACTAGGCAGTCCAGGCTGCAGCCTGGGCAGTTTTGCTGCCTCAGCCTCTGTGCCTGGCACTTACTGAGCTTAGAGACGGTCTCAGAGGGAGAATTACAACGGAAGTCCAAAGTTTGGGAGTGAGGTTACACACCCCTTCAGGAAGGTCAGTGTTCTTTTGAGAAGCACCTCTCATTTGTTGGAGACCATGGGACACAGTGCTCTCTAATCCACTCATAAAGTCCATTTCTGGCAGCACTCTATCACCTCTTAGTGGGGACCAGAGCAGGCTATGAAGGTACATTTAGTTAGGATGAGTAGGTCCCCTACTCCATGCCTTAGAATGCTCTGTCCCTACCAGCCCCTTTGCCCTTGTGGAGTATTATTTTCCAATTAACTAAAATGAAAAAGGCAGCCTGGCTTGCAGATGTTGAACATTGCACAGCCAGCTGAAGGGCTCTGTTGTGTCTCATGGCGCTTGCCCAGGGTTGTCTTGAAGGATAGTAGAGGTCAGATCTGAGCAAGCAGGATTGTAAGCTGTACCTTTTATCCAGTGCTTTGACTTGAAGGATACAGGACCAGAAGTTAAAATCTATAATCACTTACTAACTAGATAAATGGTCAGAGACCTGAAAAGAGCAATGTTCAAGGTTGGTGGCAAGTTTTGGGAAGGGCTTTGAAAATGAACCTTGAAAATTAGACCTTGACCTTAAGATTTAGAGCAAATCCAGGTGCTTACTGAGATCCCTTCAGGAATAAATCCTCATCTAAGTATTTGCTGGTCCTGGTTGGGGACCCAACACAAACATAGTTAGGCCCAGCAGTGTCAGGGCAGTGGGCTCATCTCATTGGATTTCTTCCATTTGGGGAGAACAGTGATATGCTTGTTGGAATAGGCAGTCGTTGTGCACTTAGATCTTGCCTTACCCAACTGGCCAATACTAATATTTATGGGTAAGAACGCTATAGTGGGGTCCTCTGGAAGAACAGAACCGATAGAATGAACATATAAAAGGAATTGTTAGATTGGCTTCCACAGTAGGAGTTGGATAGTCTAAAAGTGGCAGTTTGCACATTGGGTAACCTGAGAGCTTGGTAGCTGCTTAGTCCATGAGGTTGGATGCATCAGCATTGCCTGTCTGCTGTTGAAGGCCTGGAAGATTCCTGGAGAGCCACTGGTCTTCAGTCCACCAGAAGGCTGAAGCCGAGTGCTGATGTCAGTGAAGGAAGGCAGCAGCAGCAGCAACAATAGGTTAGGTACATTCACCAGCAGAACAGCTAGCTCCCTCAGAGCTCTTTGTAAGTAGGTTGTTGTTGGGAGATGCTGCCTTCTCTGGGGGGAGGGTCTTCTCCCCTAATTAGTTCTTCTTAGAAATGCCCTCACAGATCTGCCTAGAGATTTATCTCAGTTGATTCCAGATTCAGTCAAGTTGACAATCAGAATTAGCTATTGCAGATGCCAGCATTATCATACAAAAGACAGTGTCTTGGCCCAAAGATCACAGAAAAGAGGCAATGAATGACTCCCGTCTGGTGGATAGCTCCACTAGGATTCATGAGGTGCCCCTGCTGACTTCTCAGATGTCTTTCTCATTTCCTCCCCTATTACCCACTGTGTCAGTCTTTCTATTCTTCCAAGAGCCAATTGATTCTTGCCTGGGGCCTTGGCCTTGCCGTACGTTCTAGAATCTGGACTAGTGTAGTAAAATCTTCACATCGCTTTCTTTTTCTCTATCATTGGTGTCCTGCTTTACAAATATCTCAGCAGGATATCCTGTGTCTACTTTATCTAGCTTTCTTAGGAACTTCCTATTATTTTTTATTTTATTTTATTTTATTTGTATAAGCATTATAGTACCTATTGTTCTTTGGGGGACAGGGGAGAAGTATGAGAAAAATTATGCCAGTAAATAATCTGTATGCTGAACATCCATTGTCCACCTACTAAGACCCTAAATGTGTGGGCATAATGAAATAAAACAATACTGGTCAGATTTAATAATTTTAATAGTGGTGAGATAATGACCAAGATAAATAGCAATCCTGAACAGCAAATACTGAAACTTCAGAAAACAAAAATTCTCAGAGGGAAACCGTTAAAGCATGGAAGCAGTTTTAAATGGGAGACTGAAAAAAAGTTCACTGAGCAATTTTACAGCAGAATAAAAGCAATACCAATTACCATTATGGCATGCTGTGCTTCCACAAAGACAGGTGATTATTTCAAGGGCTCGTAATTGTTTGTAGGATTAGTTTTCCAAGACCTTTATCCTGCACCATTGTGCTCCTATGCACAGAGAAATCCTATTTGTGACACTGGCCTTCAGCATAACAATCAGACACGGGTGCCAAGAGTCTGACTTGTATGAAGTGCAGTTGCGTCCTAAG